AACTGGAAGTCATAATAAAAAAAAAATTTTTTTTTTCTTTTAGTTATATGTGCTTGATACTTGAAAATGAATGAAAAAACAAAGATTTGATGGAAATGTGTGGGTCTTTTTAATCTTAAGGGTTATTCCAGCATGCATCTACATCATGCACCTACTAAAACATAATAGTGGTGGGTTTTGGTAGTGATACGGATGATTTTCTCTCTAGAGTGAATATTTCAGCAATGCAACAATGCTTGTGAAAATAAAAGTGTGAATTTAAGCTTTGTGTAGGCATTTCTGTAGAAATATGGGGGCTTTTTTTGTTTTGTTTTATTTTGTTTTTTTTTTTTTTTGTTTGTTTTGTTTTGTTTTTTTTTGTTTTTTGGGGGGTTTTTTTTTGTTTTTTTTTCTTTTTTTTTTTTTTTTGAGGGGGTGATGTATTCTCTCTACAACAACTTGGCCCAGGATATTTGAAAAAATATTCTGATATACCAGTTTGCACACTGTTGGCTGGATTTTTCATGGTAAAAAGAGTGAAGTCTTGCCAAATCACTTTATTATCCATTTCCTAAAATTCCAGGGAAGAAACTGATAGATGATAAATCCATGCAAATAATGTGGGCTTGATGGGTTGCTCTGGGTGCTGAACCAGCCATTGTAGGGTTGTGAATATGTGTTTGCAGACCCCAGGACTGTGAGATCCCATTTAATTCATGGACTCCTGATGTGGTGCTCCTTGGCTCTCATAATATTGGGGTAACTATCCCTAAATAATCTGCTACTACTGATGCCTCAGGTTTTGGCTTTTATATTTTCCAGATTCTGTGCTGCTTTAGGGTGTGGGTCTGAGCTTCACATCAGGGCACGGTGAGCTCTGTGCACAGAGCAGGGAGACAAAACAATTCCTGCTCCAGCTGGGCACCAAGGACAAATGATCCAAATCTCAGCCCAGAGCACAAACACCGTGGGCTGGAGAGAGAAAAACAAGCAGGGTGGGACTGCCTGGGCTAAAGCTGGAATGGGACAATGAACTGCAAGGTGCAAATGGAGCAGAACTGATCCAAGGGAGAGACCCCGGGAGCGCTCGTGCATTTTGGGGCCATTTTGGTTCATCTTGGGTGCAGCCCTGGCTGGGCTCTTGTGCTGCCCAAGGTGCATCCATGGAGGAGATCCTTTTAATAAAGCCCTACTTTATTCTTTAGCTCTGTCTGGTCTCTGTTCTAGCTCAGCCTTCACTGATATTTACAAACTGCAATTGAAGATTGCTAAAATCAGTGGGTTCTTTCTGTTTGGAATCATGTTAATTAATTTATAACTGGATGGAAAATACTGGCACCAATTCAAGACATGGTCATTTGTTCTGTGAGATTAAACAGGGGGAACAGATTAAACAATGGGAAATGGCTTTAAATGGAAAGACAGTAGGTTTAGATTGGATATTAGGAAAAACTTATTTACTGTGAGGATGGGGAGGTCCTGGCACTGGGTGTCCAGGGCAGCTGTGGCTGCCCCTGGATCCCTGGAATTGTTCAAACCCAGGTTGAACAGGGTTTGGAGCAACTGGGGATAGTGGAAGGTGTCTCTGCCCATGGCAGGGGGTGGCACTGGATGATTTGAAGGCCCCTTCCAACCCAAACCATTTTATGTCTGTAACCATGGGACATTACTGCTCTTTATTTCACCAGCTAGGGTGAGAAACCTGCCTGAACTTCGTTAATAGCTGTCTTAATTACTCTAACAGTACAATCAATAGCTCTTTATGCTTCCCCACCTCCTGGGGATCTCAGAACTTATCCCTCAGCTAAAAATCTATTCCATTTGCATTATTGATCTTGCTTTGGTTCAATGCTTAATTTGGCAGAATTATTCAGGACTGACACAAGATTAACTGAAACCAGACACGTTTCAAGAAAAAAATCTTACATCTTTGGCACTCCTCACACTAAAAAGTAACTTATGGTTATGATGACTATTGGGAGAAAGTGTGAAAGTTTCTTAGAAAAATAACCCAAAATAATAAAAATTATCATTAATGGGGTGTCTTCTATGTCTTTCTTGAATTCCTACCTCAGCTGCTTAGACTTTTTGATGAATCTGTATTTTAGAGACCCCCAGTATTTTCAGCAGTAAAGAGGAGTTTCTCTCAAAAACATCAGCAAAAGAAAGATGGAGTGATTGCTCTCCCAGAACCTGGTGGGATTTTGGGGCTCAGCAGCACGCAGGCAGCTCTGAGGGGAACTAAAGGCATGAGGAAAGGTTGGGGAGGAATGAGACTGGTGATGAATGAACATACAAGTGGGTAAAATGGAAGTTTATAACCACCAAAGCTCTTGGCCACTCCAGGAAAATTGTGAGGAATCAACAACATGTTCCCAAGTTTTTGTCAACCTAAATGATCGGGTTGTTTAGAGAGGAAGTCTAGAATATTTTTTTTTTTTAATGGGAGTAAAGCCCTGGTAATGCATGGCACATGATACAAATGATTGTTTGATATTTTTTAAGGTAGATCTTATATTCTCTAGTTGCTGCACTGCATTAATTAAGCCTCAGTTCCCCTGCAGTGCTCTCTTCTGCCATGGCCCTGTCATAGCTCCCAGCCAACTTCTCCAGTGGGAGATTTTTAATAATGAATGCACAGTGGTAGCAATAAATGATTTATCTTTGCATTTAAGCCCATCCCTGGGGCTTTAAAAATCAAATACAGGCTTAAGTGCTTTGCAGAACCATCACCACCATGTCTGTGAAGTAGAAACCAGAGGTAGATTTTTCTAACAAAAATAAACATTACAAGGACCTGAACCTAAATAAGTACCAAACATATAAAAAAAAATCCTGCTCAAAGTAAGTAGCCAAGTTTTTGGGGTATTTTATTTTACTTTTTCTTTTTTTGATGATGGAAGCACAAGCTGTCTGGTTATTCCAAAAAATGGAAGACTGATATTAGAATAAATCTCAATCCCTGCTGCAGATCCATGAGGAATTACCTTCAGAAACAGGCTGAAAATCCTTCCTCAACCTCATGGTGCCTCACCTACTAAAGGGAAAGTGCTTAAAGATGTTCTGGAATAAAGATCTGGATGAGGAATTTGGTCTGATGGAATGATGCTACAATAGGTTAAAACAGCAAAATAGAACATGGAAAATGCTTAATATGAGTCTAAATGTGAGATATTTCAATATGGTGACAGAACCAGATTATGATCAATTGTCTTCCTTCCTTACAAACTCTCTTTTTACAGGGCATGTGCGCACAAATATTGACTCTGTCTGGTGGATATCTGCACAGAATTCTCAATTTCATTCCTTTTTATTGTCTCTGTGTGAACTTTTCTGCTGTCAAATCTGTTTGGATAAACAACACTCCGCTCCATAACACATACATCAATGCGAGATCCATTTATACACACCCGGTTATAAAAGTTGCAAAAAAACATGAGGAAAAAAAATAATGGCAGCGAATGGAACAGAAAATATGATGTTTTCTCTTGGTTTTGGTGGCTAACTATACACATAGGAAAAACACCAGCAAAACCCAGTCACCATATTGATCCAGGATGACAAAGGATGTTTGATAATCCAGTTAAATCTTTTGAGGCCGTGGCATGCTTTGCTTCATATTGTGAGATGTGCAGCAGACACCAAACATGCACTGAAAAATTCAGACTCAGAACCAGCTCTGCACACCTCAGGTGTTCATTAAATTCCAATAACTCAGGGATGACTTCCTAGCAGAACATCCAAGCCTTCATGCAAGCCCTAGGCAGACCATGCACAAGTTAACTAAGTCTCATCCTCAGTTTTATTTCTGAGGTAAATCCACCCACAGAATCAATTTAAAACATTATTTTTAGCTGTGGAAACACAGTTTAGAGCAACGTGAAAGGGGCAGTGCTTTCAGTAAGTGAATATCTGGTTACAGACATGAAAATTGATGTAGAAAATATTATCATTTAATGTAAATCTCAACTAGATAAAGGGGGAAAAAAAAGAAAAATAGGCAGCTGGAGGACATATTTTTCCCTGAAAATTCTCATTTAGATGGATGACCTCAGTATAGTATGATTGTGCTTGCTTAGGGTGAAACTAATCACTGGATAATTGTATTTGCTACCAAATAAGCATCTCTTTACTTTACCCTAACATCTCTTAGTTTTATTCAACGTGTTCATAGTTTGCCTATTTTCATCAGGAATTTAATACTAAATTAAATAGTCCTTCTACATCTATGTGTACAAGAAAGCTCACAAAAAATCCCAAAACCAAATGTGTGTGGTGTTTAGGCCAGCACCAGAGGTGCTGCCCCATATCATGGTTATTCCAGAGGATTATATAATTTTTATATGGAGAATGACTGCATGCACTCAAAATCATGATGACAACCACTTCAACTGGCCAACCTCTGCCCTCTTAGATGGAAACTAATAAAAAGGATTCCAGCTTAAAAAGCCATAAAAATCACAAAGCTGCAACATGTTTTTAGGATTTTAAAACAATTTTAAGAGGGGTATGTGTGAAATGTTTGGCTTAAGTGGAATGTATTTAAGTTTACAAGAAACATGGACATAAGTATGTCTAGGGGATCTTCCTACACTGTAATTCAGCATAAAATTAATTAAAACTTTTCACCAAACCTCATTGATTTCAGTGAACTTTGAACCATGTCCTGGAACTTATGAAGCACAGCAAACCATCCCATGAGGATAACAACAATTTTTATACCATTATGGTAATTTTCAGAGAACTAACATGTAAAAACGTTAGATTTGGTTTGGGTTTGGTTTTAATCTTGTATTTATGCTTATTTAATAGGCCTTTTAAAGAAATGTGAAAGTTGGCATTAAAATGCACTTTCATGGATGATGGATTGAAAAATAAAGTAAAAATCAAAATAATTTAATAGACCTTGGAACTATTTTCAAAAATCAGCCTAATTCAAGTGAGGTTTCTTTTTTACTTTGTGGGTTTTTCCTATGTGTATATCAATAATTTAAATTGATTACTGCTTTATTTGTACTTACAAGTAAATGCTGGATTCATTGCCCCCGATGTCAGGTGACTGGAGTTTCTGCACAAGTATCACAATTATGCCAATAAAAAGCACAAAGTTTATCTGGGGGAAAGACAAAATAGTGAAAAATGGTGACAATTACATACTTTTATAAAGTATGAAAATGAGACATTCCCAGTGACTTGCTGGTTAGATTTCCTTTTTTTTCTCCAAGCTACAGTCTAAAAGTTTTATAGGGCCAGCAGTAATGGGGAAAGTTCACATGGGTCTTATCCCCCTTGCTGCAGCTAAAATGAGGCAGAATTTCTGCAGTTTTAAGACAAAAGAAGAGAAACATAAATGGAAAACTTCCAACATTTTTCATTATCAATCTGTGCAGAGTAAGAAGAAAGATCCCTGGACAAAAAAAATCTTAAAATAAAGACCTCCAGAGTAAAGGCATTCTTAACTCCTGTTCTCTGACCAACAGACTTCTCAGTTTAACAGTTTCCCTCAGTTTTAAAAACCTGGAGAATTAAAAAATTAATTTATTTCAATGCTTTGGCTTGAGATTTGGCTGTCACCAACTCCACAGCTTCTTAGAGCCTGAGCAGTGGAAATTTAAGTTGGTCCATTATAAAATCTTACACTCCTACAGGGAGATCAGAAACTGAACATGAGCATCAGCATCAGTCTCATAATCTGAAGACTGTGAGTTTGATTCTCACATGGGGCACTATTATAATGTTGGTTTTTGGCTTGTGGGGTTTTTTGAGTTGTTTTGGGGGTTTTGGGGGGTTTTTTGGGGGATTTTTGTTGGTGTGGGTTTTGTTGTTGTTGTTTGTTTTCACTTTTTTGTTTGTTTGTTTGTTCTGTGTTTTTTTTTTAATGAGATTGGCATTGAAGGTACCTGAAGATATTTGACTCAAATGTTTATTTTTTCTTATTTATGTTACAGCCTCACAGGTGGGGAGTTCTGTAGTATTCTACTAAAAAGGTATAAAATGGTTAACTATTTTTTGTTATAAGGATTTTTAAGGTTAAACTATCTAATTAGGAAATTACATTTAAATTATTTTCACTTTTAACATAGTAACTAATCACTCAAAGTCCGTTTCTGTTTAATTACAAAATACTTCTCAAACTTATAAAGAAGAAGGTGAAGAAGAAGAAGGACTAGTCTCTGTTTTAAAATTTCTATCTTGTTCTGTATATATTACTATGTTCTAAAACCCCAAACACTAAGTTTTCCACCTTGTGATATTATAAACTTCTAAGTAAACTACACACTTGTAATCCCAGTGTCATCAACCAATTTTGGAAGCTTTTTCTATGGCTTCGGGTCAAATGTATTGGTTTCTTGGGAGTCAGAGTCTGTCCGTACAGAAAGTCTAAAATTCTCAGCATCTAGAACTCTCTTCCAGAAGTTTCTATCTGATCTGAGGACTGCAAAGGACTGGAGAAGCCCAGATGTTTCTTGCTGGTTTTTTGGTCCTTTAATGCCTTCAACAGAAACCAGTTTTAACTGATTCTCTAAGCAGAACATGATCCTTCATAGACTATGCCTGTAAAACATGGAAATTCACACATGGACAAAAACCTTGGATCATTGAACCCTCGCTGTTTTGGTGCTGAAATTGGCTGAATTTCCCTTCATTTCTCTGACAGCTGCTGGATTTTACAGAGCTGTCCAAAGATTTCAAAGGAGAAAACCCAAACCTGATAAAACTTCCTGGTTTATTGGTTACCTGTGAGCTGGATGTCTGAATTCCTACAAAACCCACTGAAAACCTGATTAATTACATCTGCGGAGTGTGGAGAGCAACTTAGAATGCCCAGAATGAGACACTTCCATGTGGCAAGCCCGACAGATTTTCAGGTGCCACTGATCATATTGGCCAGGGGCTCAATTTATTTTCTTAAATGCAGGAGCCCAACAGCATTTTAAAATTCTCATATTATTTGGAGCAACAGAATATCTCCTTCTCTTCAGATATTCAAAATCCATCTGTACATAATCCTGAATTATATGTTCTAGGGAATCCTGCTTAATCAGGTAGGTTGGACTAAATGATTTCCAGTAATTCTTTCCAATTTTAGCTGTTCTGTTAAGGCCAAACAGGGCACTTTAGAACCTCTCAGTCCTCCATGTGCAGGTATCTGACAAAATTTGAGCCAAATCCAAGACTTCCATTGATTAAAGAGAGCTCAGACACCTTGCTGACAATAAACACTGACCAAGTACCATTTTAAATCTAATATTAGATAAATACATGTAGCTGTGAAATTAATCCCATTGAGCAGGCAGAGTACATTTTTCTGGTCACTTACCAGGGAAAATTTACTATTTTACTATTTAAATTTACTACATTTAAATTCTTAAATTTACTATTTAAAATTTACTATTGTTTTAGGTGCCCTGGATTGTCCCACTTGGCCTTCAGCTGCCGCCCCAATTGGCCCAGAATTTCCACACATCCTATGACACCTCTGCCAGCCCCAGACAAATGTTCTTCATGCTCTGGGGTCTTAATTATGGCATTTGTGTCTGTGTTTAACTGAATAACTCCTTGGCTTGCAGGCAGTGCTCCATCATTAAATTTGTATTAATCCTTCTTAATAATGAAGCTCCTTGGCTTTGTGGGTGACAAATGATGGAAATTTAGAGAATTTTCCCACAGGGGTGCAGCACAGTTTGTAAAGTATTTGAAGATGTTTAAATTGGTTATTTGTCCTCAGGAGGGATGAAGAATTGTCTTCTCCAAGTTCTACTCACCATGATTGACCCAACCACGGGGCCCTTGATCACCCACCACAAGGCAGTGTTGTCATTCATGTCCCAGCAGCTGCAACCATTGAGGAAAGAATGGGATGGGGAAAGAGAAAGGAAAAAAAAAAAAAAAAAAAAGACAAAACAATGAAATTCATGAACTTACAACTGTTTTTAAGGGGGCAGAATGTGGGAGATTGATTTCTCAGCTAAATTATTTTATCTATGTTCAAAGTGACAGTTCTTTACTTTGTCTTATTGCAGCTTTCTTTTAGAGCCTTTCCACAATCATTTGGAAGTAAAATAAGTATTTTTGTGGCAGTTTTGATGGCGTTCCTATTAAACAGCTTAGATATTTTGGAAAAACCCTTTAAGTGTATTTCTGTGTCTGTAATACAACCCTGAAGTTGTCCCTTCAAAAAAAAGGAAAAAGAAATAAGTCAATATATGGGGGGTTTTTTTGATGGTTATTCCAAAGTTTGATGTCTCACTTACTTTTCCAGGGTTAGCAGATATGAATGTTGGTTTCTGGCCCTGACACAAGGATTTTTACACATTTCCAGTACACCAGGATCCTGGTTGTATTCACATATTGGAATGATTTTCCAGTCATTGTGTTGCAAGTCCTATGCAGGATTCATCTGAGAAGGATCAAATACTGGGCAGGAGTTGGGATCAGCTCCTTTGTTAAGCTGTTGCTAGTGAGTAATCATAAATAAAATAGCATTTCTACCCCAAATTTTAGAATCTTCTTCTGAAATCCTCAAAGGATTTTGCACAAGGTTATTTCACACAGGTGCACTTGGATATTCAAATATATGGCTTATATTCAAAGAGAGTTTTAATGCTAACATACATTTTTAGAGCTAGAAAACAAAAAATAATGAAAATAATCTTATTTTCCAGGCACTGCTACACTATTATACTGTCTATTATTTATTGTTGAGAAATGTCTTCATGACTTTTAAGTCATCAAGAATTTGTCAACTAAAAATTATCTTTCATTTCCCTCCACTTTCTTGCCCTGATTTTCTCCCTAGAAAATATAAAATCACGGAAATCTGTCTAAATTGTTCTTGCAGCTCTGAGAAGGAATTTTTTTCCTTCCCACTGGGAAATGAGCCAAAGTCCCAGCAGAGGCTGTCATGGTGCATTTGTCAAATGCCAAAAAACAATTGGGGAGAACACAGAGGAATAAAACACTGCGGGTCTCATGAGAGCTTACTACAACTTCAGTGTCATTTAAATGGTTGTGTGGTAGCATCTGGGGAAAAAGGGAAAATCTTCAAACAAAACTACATACATGTGTAAAAGTGTGGAGGCAGAGCTAAAATCCCATCATCAAAGTGTGTGTGAGAGAAATCCCAAATGGCTGAGTGATGCTTGGTTTAGAAATTTCATTTAAATTTATATTTGCAGTTGAACAACATTAATTTTTTGCATTCTTTCTCATTCTTTTAATTCTTTCATTCTTTTCAATTGAACAATATTTATTCATTTCAGATGGATATATCTGAATTTTTTTTCAGATATTTATAAATTTCAATATATTTATTCATTTCAGATATTTTACTGGATTCCCCTAAAACCAACAATAAGGATTTGTATGATACAGCTGGTGCAAAATGAGAAAATTTACACTAAATTATGGATTTTAGCTTCTATTTGCACAGCATGGAAAGCTGAAATCATCCAAAATCAAAGGGGCTGATGACTGAGATTTTCAAATTAATAATTCCTGATCACTTTGGATACCCAACTTAAAATATTTGAAAGGGGATAAATGCTCAGAGGGATCTCCTCACCCACAGTGTGGAAATCAGGCTTTTTGTCAGTGATCAACAATGATATGGACCTAAAATCACCAATTATCTTTTAAATTCTTTTTATGCACTTATAAATTAGGTGCTGTCCACTGAAAATTACCCATTATTTGCAGAGCTCAACCTCCTTATGATGGACATTAAATCTGCCCCGAAAGTCTTTAGTGAATTGACCAATACTGGAAGAATCTGGGCAAATTATTAATTATTAATTTAGCCGTAAAAGTAGATATTGATGTATGGCAATATTTCTGTGTAGGAATGAGGAATTACAAGGATAGAAATCCACCTCTAATTCCAGTTATCTGGACTGTAACAGCTCAGTTAATTACCCCAGAATCTGGCTGGGACAAAGAGGACCTTGGAGGTTGTTTTGGTTTTTATTTTTTCCCCCACTGATATATTTTAAATGTGCACTCTGATACATCATCCCCTACAAATTCCCATTCTCAGACCTCTCTGCTTTTTTCTTCTCCTCTTTTTAGACCTTTTCTTCTACTTAAACCACTCCCCTGTTTTTCCAGGAGCTCAATTCCCAACTTCCACCTTGTAGATGCCGACAATGAAGCAGATCAATCTCACACAGAGATTTTCAAGGATTTCCAAGGATATCCAGTCCCTGTGACCACCTACAGGATAAATGTGGAGGAAGGAACCACCATCTCCTCCTCAGATAGAAAAAGTGGGAATGCATCACAGAACATTTGGAATTTTCTGCACTACGTATGAAAATTTGGAATTTCCCGCACAAATAAGCTCCCTAATTTCTGTCAAATGCTTCCCTACAGTGCGGGATGAAAATAAATTACTCTTTTCCAGGATGGATGAAGGGAAGGGGGCCAGAGGGCTGGGGAAGGGATGTGATTTCCATTTGCAGAAGGCAGAGTCTGATCTCTGGTGCGCGTCTGGAATAACTCCGCTTAAATCAGGAGCAGAGCTCTGGATCAACAGAGCTGCATTTACCTCCTCAATCCTGCCACTTCCAGGGATGGAAGTCAGGAGCTGAAGTCGAGGCAGCTCTGCCAGTTTTGTAAGGAACAGGCAGGAGCTCTGAGCCTGTATTTCAGTCCATGCCTTTGCCACCGACGTTTTCCAGTTCAGTAATTTCCACATTTTCGGGCTCATGCTGGCTTCTCCCCTACTCCCCGAACAATGCTGGCTGATTTTTAAAAAGTAACCACTGAGACTCTCAGCTAGAACCTGTCTAAATGTCTTGCATGCTAAATAGCTTCTCTAAATAATAGGAATTGCCTCGGTTGCTTTGGTTTTTTGTTTCTTTTTCTTCTTTTTTCCTTCTTTTTCTTCCTTTCCTTCTCCCTACCTGCAAAATGCAAGGGCTGTTTGGACTTGTAAGAGAAATTAGTGCTTTCAGGGCCAGTGCTGTGATTCTAATAATGACACAACAGGGGTTTCTGGCTTGTTTTGCATGGAAATAAATGATTTAATTTGTCTTAATGTCAAAACAGAACATTGGGTCACAGCACTGGCATCCCCAGTGGAGGAAAGGCTTTATTTGCTTTCCAGAGAGATTCTGAAAGGACAAGGATGAAGAAAACCTGAGAGAACAATGAGTTTTGTGGAAATTTTGCATTGATGTATTTCCAAATTAGGCAAAATTAAAGCACAAGCCTCAATGACTTGGAAATGGGATTTTGGTACAAAGTGCCTTTCTCTCAGTTCTGTGTTTTCAAAGAACCACTGACTGATTTTTGAAGTTTTACTCAGTCTGCCTCATTTTTTCTAACATTTCACCAGGTTCAAGCATAGCTTATGTAAAACATTGCCAAGTTTGTCTTTTCAGGGTGTAAGTACACTTCCATTGCTACCTGCCTGATCTGCTGCTCTATGGGAGCAGATACTGACTACCAAAATATGCAGGTGCTCCAGTTCTGGGAGCAGCTTTTCCTTCTGGTCCTTTAGAACAGGATATTTGCAGCCTTTGTTTCTCTACCAAAAAAGACAATTTGGGAAGGACCTACCCTTTTGAATTCTTTATGAAATATTTTTTTTTCCACATAGAAGACAGAATGCGGATTTCTGTTTCATCTCTCTTCATCTCCCCAGCAAAATTCATGTAAAACCCTTCTCAGTGGGACGCTAAACTCCTAATTGCCCTGGCAAATCAAAGCTCAGCAATGCCTTGTGCAGATTTCTTTCATTTCACTGGATTTATCTCCAATAATTTCTACAGCTGAGCTCATCACCTTCATCCTACTCCACAATGAGTGGGAAAAAAAGCAGAGAATTATGTGAGATTCCACTTGTAAGATAAGACAAACAATATCCTGCACTCCAGTAAATTAATGGAGCAGGGAATGGGGTCAGCTGCAGGTTTACAGGTTTGATGCCTGAATCTTTTAGGAATTCCCCACTGCAGTGGTGGCACAGACATCAAACTGTAACTCTATGAACAGAAAAGTACTTGAACCTCTGCACCTAAATTGTGTTAGTACACAAATAGATGTGAGAAATGAAAGGAGAAAACAGAACAAGAGGAAATGGCCTCAAGTTGGGCCACAGGATGTTCAGGCTGGACATCAGAAAGAATTTTTTCACTCAAAGGGTTTTTGAACTTTGGATGGGGCTGCCCAGGGAGGTTTGGAGTCCCCATCTGTCTTAGGTTGGAAATAGGGGAATTCTATTCCTATCTGTTAGAGGTGGGGCAGTTCTCTGCTGTTCATGGGGCAGTTTTTCCTTTATCTCTCCCACAGCCAACCCTCCCTCCAGGAGATCTCTGCTGTCCATGGCCACTGAGTGTCCCTGCAGGGCTGATCCAATCCCAGCATCCCATGGGGAGATGCTCCGCCCAGGGGAGGAGCCAAGCATTCCTACCTGGATCCAATCTGGGCCTGGCACAGCACAGCAGCCTTTGCCCCCTGCATTGCCGGAGGAGCAGCTTTCTGCTGCCCTGCATGGCCAGAGGGAGCCCAGGCCCATCTGCAGCAGCCCTGGAGCTGCAGAGGAAAACTCCCCCCTTGTGCAGGATCCCTGCTGCAGCAGAGCCACAGCTGGCACTGCAGGAGGGCTGAGCCCCCCTGGGATGGGGCTGGGACACCGCCCTGACACACAGGGGGCAGGGCATGGTGCTGAATCTGTCAATTTTTTGTTTTCTTTTTTGTACTATTGCATTTGGATTTTTAATTTTCCTATTAAGGAACTGTTATTCCTACTCCCATATCTTTGTCTGAGAGCGCCTTAATTTCAAAATCATCATAATTCAGAAGGAGGGGGTTTGCATCTTCCATTTCAAGGGAGGCTCCTGCCTTCCTTAGCAGACACCTGTCTGTTCAAACCAAGACACCATCCCTGGAGGTGACACTCAGTGCTCTGGGCTGGGGACAAGGTGAGGATCAGTCACAGCTTGGACTCAGTGACCCTGGAGGTCTTTCCCAACCTCAAGGATTCTCTCACTTTGTGATTCCTCTCCAATCGACACACTCACTCCTGTGGCACCCTTGCCATGGTGCTGGATGCACCTGGAACCATTTCCCACACAGCAACACCTACCCAGTGTCATCGAAGTGGAGCCTCAGCACTGCCCAGACAGTGACACAAATTGTTGGGGTACCTGCAGAGGACGAGACAGTGACACATGAACAATCCAGACACACTTGACACTCATCAATGAGCATTTATGCAAGCTCTCCACTGAGGTTTTATTTCTTAACAGCACTTGTACATGGCATAAAGCAATTTATTGAGTTAATTCAGAGCTCCAGAAACATCCCTGTCAGTCAGGGGTGGGATTGTAGGAGCAGAACTGGGAGCAGGAAAAAATTGATGCTGTGCCAGGTCATTGTTGCCCTGTGCTTTGCTGCATCTTGCTGCATGAAGAATAAAACAAAGCCTGGACAGAGGAGAATCAACCACATCCATGTTTAGAGCTACTGGAATCATGCAAGAATTGCAGTGCCAGATGTTGAGCTGGAATGGAATTATGGGATTCTGTGTATTCTTCTCTGGTTTTGTTGTAAATGATTTACATATGTTGCATTTTTTCTGGTACAGTGTAAATAACCAGTTTTTCTTTACTTATTCACAGATGAGAAGTTTCCTCTGCTCACAGGAATATTTAATTTTTTCCATTAAAAAAATACCAGAAAAAAACAACAGACTCCAAAAAAAGAGTGTTGGGGTAAGGATTTAATTCCTATTTCAGATGTTTCTTCATTTTCAAAAAATGCATGTAAAATGTAAATTTAATTGAAACAGTAAGAACTCACTGAGAAACCTGGACTTATTTTCCTTTCTGAAAATCCTAGAAATGTGTTTTGTTTTGTTTTCTTTTTTTCCAGTGGAAATATTTTTATAAATTAATGTATTTGTGCAAGACAACTCTGGGTAAGTTGGATCTCCACTCTATGGTAAATAAAATCTTTGACAAGAAACTGCTGACGTCTGTTCAGGCACCACTGGAAAAATGAAATGCTGAAACCCAAACAAAACAAGGACCTTGATAACCCCAGCTCCCAGCAGTGAACAAGACTGTGGTGAGTTGACAGGAACAATTATATTTAATACATTTTGCAAGACTGTGTTGATGTCACATTAATTAATCAGTCATTTGAACTACTTAGACGAGCCTCTGTCTAATCAAATTCTCACCATCAGAAATAAAAATATCCCTGTTAGACCTGGGTGACTGATGGAGCCCACCTCCTTCAAACAACCACAAAGAGAAGAATTTGAAAGGAAAATTATATAAAAAAATAAAATGACAGGCTTTGGGGAGAAGATATCATGCATATTAAATTTCAGTTAAAGTCTGCTTTTCTCACAGGTGAAGACTTAGAGAACACTGAGAAAAAAACATTTTTGCCCTTAAAGGAGTTAAGATTAATTTTTGAATATCAAATTTTAATTTTAATTGTATCAAATGAACTTTAAAATATCAAGTATTTGCCCAGAGAAGCTGTGGGTGATCCAGCCTTGGAAGTGTCCAAGGATGAGGGTTGGAGCAACCTGGGATGGTGGAAAATGTCCAGAGAAGGGGGAGTGTGAATGAGATGAGTTTTAAGGTCTCTTCCAATCCAAACCATTCTTTGATTTTGTAAAACATGGGTCTCATGTTTTATTTAGTTTCCTCTATATAAATTTTGATGCTATGAATAGCGTTCCAAATCTCTAAAATGTGCAGAAAGACAGAATTAAAACTAAATGTGTCATAAAAATGCATTTAAAAATCCCATGTTTCAGATCAGCTTGAAGCTTTGAACCATCTGCTTTATGAATATACAAATCCTCACACTACTTTTCTTTACATCAAAAGATTTCTATCTCTCCATCGCCTCCTTTTCAGCTTCTGAGGAATGGTAGGAAACAGACAAGCCCTGAAGGCTGAGATTTATTCTTGCTGACTTGTGCTGCCCTGAGTTAGTGATCCTTGTGCAGGCTGCCCTAGAGCAGAGACTAGACAGAGCTAAAGAATCAAGCAGGGATTCATTAAAAGGCCTCCATGGATGCACCTTGGGCAGCACCAGAGCCCAGCCAGGGCTGCACCCAAGATGAACCAAAATGGCCCCAAAATGCACGAGCGCTCCCGGGGTCTCTCCCTGGGATCAGTTCTGCTCCATTTGCACCTTGCAGTTCATTGTCCCATTCCAGCTTTAGCCCAGGCAGTCCCACCCTGCTTGTTTTTCTCTCTCCAGCCCACGGTGTTTGTGCTCCTGGGCTGAGATTTGGATCATTTGTCCTTGGTGCCCAGCTGGAGCAGGAATTGTTTTGTCTCCCTGCTCTGTGCACAGAGCTCACCATGCCCTGATATGGAGCTCAGACCCACACACTAAAGCAGCACAGAATCTGAAAATGTAAAAGCTAACCCTGAGCCATCATTAGGAGCAGGCATTAGCAGAAAGCTCAGGAAGACAGCAGTCCATCCAGAGAATTCACCAGCACATTGCAGATTTAGGAAGGAAAAACTGCCTGGATCAACAGAGCCATATGCAGTTCTCATTAATCCCTCAAGATGAGGACACTGAGGTCTCAGCACATTTGGAGAAGCAGATCAACATCCAGATGCTGCGAAGTGCTGAGCTCTTCTTTCTCACTGCTTCAGTGCATCTCCCTCCCCACCAGCCTGAGCTGAGGGACTGCATTTGCCCTCCAGGGATGGAATCCAAGAGTCTGGAAGTGCCTCTATAGGCTTTGCAAATTGCCAATTGTTCCCAGCAGATCAGGGGAACTGTGAGTCCAGCTGAAACGTGTGGGAGATGAGAAAATAATTGTACTTAAGAAAAAACCAAAACAGAACTGTCCAAATCTGGAGAGTTATTAATGGTTATTGCTGATGCTGCTTTGAATCTGAAGTGATTGGAGTTTGTGTCCACCAACACAAGCTGGACCAGGTATCCAAGCTGGGCATGGACCTGCTGAAATTAAATCCAGAGGAGGCCACAGAGATGGTCCAAGGGCTGGAGCCCCTTTACTGGGGAGAAAAGCTGGGAGAGCTGGGAATGTTCCCCTGGAGAGGAGAAGGCTCCATGGAGAGCTCAGAGCCCCTTGCAAGGCCTGAAGGGGCTCCAGGAGAGCTGGAGAGGGACTGGGGACAAGGGATGGAGGGACAGGACACAGGGAATGGTTCCCACTGCCAGAGGGCAGGGATGGATGGGAGATTGGGAATTGGGAATTCCTGGCTGGGAGGGTGGGGAGGGGCTGGGATGGAATTCCCAGAGAAGCTGTGGCGGCCCCTGGATCCCTGGAGGTGTCCAAGGCCAGGCTGGACACTTGGAGCAGCCTGGGACAGTGGGAAGTGTCCCTGCCCATGGCAGGGGGTGCAATAGATGACATTTAATGTCCCTTCAAACTCAAACCACTCTGGGATTCTGTGAAGTCCAGTTTAGCTCAATGCCAGTTATCATCCATGGCGCTCAACTAAAAACTAAATATTTTGAGGTTGCAGTAGAGAATGAATCCATCTGGGCAGTTTATTCAATACAAGGACTGATTTAATAAATACTGAAGTCAGTTAATATAAGCTGGTTTTCATTATTCTCACATGCAGACAAATCCACAGATATGAAAATTGTGCAAACCTAATTAAAGGAACTCAACCTCTGATTTATGTTCTGATTACAAAGGTTTTGCAAATTGCAATTTTGCATCGCTTTCTTTTCTAATTGTCAGATTTCCATGTATATAACCCCCAATTTCTCCTTGGAAACACATTTTTCTCTCAGCTATAATGTGATTATACAGCTGTGGAGGTACAAAAGGAACCCTGAACACCTTTTCCAGCAGTTTCTTTCCCAAAGGCCTTTTCCAGTAACCATCCATTTCCAACAGCCTTTGTATGGCACAGCTTATTTATGATAATTTGCTGACTCCTTTCTCCCTATACCTTCTCTACCTTCTAGAAAGATTTTCTCACCCTACTGTAAGGAGTCTTTGCGAGGAGATGAAAATTTTGGTTTGTGTACAGCTGCTTCAGGAGGGGAAAAACAAGACCATCTGTTATTTCTTGAAGGTTTAGTCTACATTTTTTTCAGAGGAGATCAGTTTAAGGCATGGGGTTTGTGTGTAGATTTTACACATGAATATACAGGATTGCTTCTATTTCAAAACATGAATATACAGGATTATTTCTACTTCAAAAGTGTCTGTAAGTATAAAAATCGAGTTTAACATTCTCAGGGAACATTTTAAATGAATGTATTCTTCTGCATTCACCATCTGACTTCTGCACAAAAAAACATCTGCAAAGAATTGCTTGCATTAACACATCACAGGAATCAATTTATATCCAGAAGGCCAGAATGAAAAATAATTACCATGGTTATCATCATTTAACTGGCTTTTCTGAAATAAATATTGTTCCTTCCCAGTGCAAGTTTTTATTTCCTATCCAGGTAGGATAAGCAGATGTGAATACCCTTTGGATACATTTTCAATTTAGTTATTATCTGAAAGAAAGGCACAAATGCAGCCTTAGAAAATAGACTAGACTTAGCCTTGCAGATTTGATTATGCTGAAGAAGTTGATGTTAAGATCATATCTTTTAGGAGGCAATTTTCTGTTGTAGATTACTCCTCTGCAAGAGATGTGGTGTCCTCAAGATATCAGTGCAACTCTATTCACACAAAAAATCACAACACAGCTTGGGCTGCAGTGGTAATTCTGTGCTGTGATAATTCACTTGTGGGGAATTTTGGAAGGGATTTGAGATGGGACCTTTGAATTGTTTTTGATGATGTGGTTTATTTTCTTATCTTCTACATGGGCAGGAAGGGTGAGTTCAGCTCACATCTTCACTGCATGGTTCAGAAGGTCACAAGATCTTTAGTTAAAGACCTTTTAAGGAGTTATTGACCAATAAAACACTGCCAATAGGATATTTATGGTTTTGACCCAATCCTTAAATATTTTGTCTTATGGGCCCATGCTACAGTGTAAGTATGGATCTATATGTTCCTTAAGCATGGGTCCATGTGTTCTTTAGCCAATTGTGTTATGATACACAAACCTACAGTAGTGCATTCTAAACTCCTTGTTTACTCTTGTAACTGCATTTATTTTGATATATCTTAAACTCTAAAACTCTAAACTTTCCTTAGCTTAATGTGCCTTTGCTTTAAACTATAAATATTGATATTTATAGAATTCCAAAAGTGACCATGGATTGGAGGATGAAATTGCCCCCTGTCCAACCACACTGGTCAAACCAACAGTCTACCAATTTTCTCTTCCTCCAGAAAGGAATGTAAAACAATCATTATTTACATGAAAAGTGCTTGAGAAACTCCATTACAAAAATGTAAACATTAGAAGGCTTAGAAGAACTTTAGTAGAACAGGGTGACAAATTAGCAACCCCCCGTGCCCACAATTTGGACTTTTATAAATCCACATTTTCACTTCTTTCACCTAAGTATGGGAGCCTTTTCCAAGGTCTCAGATCAAATCCTGTGTTTAGTTCTAAGATTTGGCTTACAACTCCAAAGTTCTGAGAGTTCCTTGCATTTCGAATTCCAGCATGATTCCAACATAATTTCAACACTATCAAGACTAAAATTATAGTTTAAACCTGACATGAAACTACCATGTCACAGTCAAATTTTCTGGAAAAATCCCTTTGCCTAGGATTTTGCTCCTGGGAAGCTGAGAAGACTCAGAGAAAAAGGAAAACAATAATTCTCTGATTTGCTTCTCCTGTGTTTTGCTGCTTTGGAATGTGTTTGGACATTGTTTGCCAACAGGTTTTGTTTCATTGGTTTCATGTAAATTGTTTTGACTTATTGGTCAGTAACAGGCAAGCTGTGTCGAGGCTCTGGAGAGAGTCACGAGTTTTCATTATTATTTTTTTATCCTTTCTGTGTTCTTTAGTATAGCTTAGTATGGTATTATTTTATATAATATAGTACCATAAAATAATAAATTAGGCTTCTGAGAACATGGAGCCAGATTCATCATTCCTTCCTGCCATGGGGCACCCCACAAATGCAATAACGCCACACGTGGTTTGTGGAGCCATCCTGCACACCAAGACACGTTGGAGACAAGAAGTGCCACCTACCCCAGCCAATGATTGTGTACCAGTAGAAATATCTCCTCTCTGGGAAGAAGGTCTCCACCAACAAAGTGAAGAGGTACAACCCCTCGATGAACAGCCAGAAGTAGTTGGACATGACGCAGTAGTGAAAAAACACCATCACTGCTTTGCATTCCACCTGCAGGGGACGGAGAAGAACAAAGTTATTTCTGCATTGCTTAGGCCTAGAAAAAAATGCTTTCAGCCTCTCCAGATCTCAGTGGAAAGAGCTGGGGCTGGTATTACACACTTTTAATGGTAAAGGTTTTAAAGAGTGTGAAGAATGGCAGGTATCACTTAGACAGCAAAGCTTGGATGGGGAGGAAGCCAATTTTACCAGTGGGAAGAGGTCAAGGAACATTTCAGAGCAGCTTGAGCACATCCTGTGCTGCTGAGGGCTCACAGCCCCAGTGAACACCAATTGCTGGATTTAAACCCCCTTCCAGGATTAAATGCAGAGAAGAAAAAAGCCAATTGTGTACCGAGAAACCCAGAGAAGGATGTGAAATGGCAGGATGAATGTAGAAAGCCCTGAGAGTGGGATCTGAAAGGATGAACCCTCCTGTGTGCAGCTGGGAATTGCACTTCTTTGCCATCCATCATCAGTGTTGTCACTCAAGGATAGAAAATGGAAGTTAGGTTGAAGAAAAAGGAGGCTGAGTGATCAGCTGTGAAAAAATAAAGATGGAAGCTTTCATTCATGGACAGGAGGGGGAAGCAGCAAACTAAAGAAAAGTGAAAACTAGAAATAAAAATAAAAACTATAAATAAAAATAAAATATAAATATTTTAAAAAATAATAAATAAAATTAAAATAGAAATAGAATAAAATAAAAATAGAATAAAAATAAAATAGAATTAAAAAAAACCAAACAAACAAAAAAAGGAACTGAGTTTGTTTAAGCTTGAGAAAAGCTCAGGGAGGACATTATTGCTTTTTACAACTCCCTGACAGGAGGTGGTAACAAGGTCAGTCTCTTCTCCCAGGGAACAAATGCTAGCGAAAGAGGAAATTGTCTTAAATTGCATCAGGGGAGGTTTAGTTTGGATATTAAGGAAAATTTCTCTCCTGAGAGGGTTGCCAATCACTGGAACAGTGTCCAGGTCAGTGGTGAAGTCACCATTCATGGAGGTGTTTGAAATATGTGGAAATGTGGCACTTGGGGATGTGATTGAGGGGTGAATTTGGCAGTGCTTGGGAATGGTTGGACTCAATTTTAGAGGTTTTTCAACCTAAATAATTCTGTGACAAAGGCCTAAGGTGGCAACCAAGCTCTACCCTGTGAGAGTAGGACACACTGGTGTTTCCAGTGCTGCACCCAAGTGAGATGCCATTAGTCCTACAAAAGTAGGATTTTCCAACAAATCCTGTGGGAAATTATTTTGTAGAAAAATTCTGAAGTTTGATAGAAGATTTACATAGTATGTATTTGTATGTAAATTTTGAGAAAAAAACCATTGATTTTGAAATGTTATGGAAGAGGATAGATATTGTTGAGAGAGAAATGGAATTAGAAATAAGTTGTAAAGAGTGGTTTTGTAAATAAGATTAGATATTTTGGAGAAATAAAATTATGAAAGATCTACTGTAGTAGGATTTATGAAGGTAATTTTAGATAATTTGCTTTAAGGTATTTATAGTATGGTGTGGTAAAAGTTGATAGGTTAAGACATGTTTATAATGTATTGTAATTAGAAAATAGTTGTGGTTTTTTTGTGATGGTGTGAATTACAATATTTGCATTTTACTTTTTCCGTGAAACTCAGAATAAACGTTTTTAAAATGCTTTTTAACTGTTTTATTTTTGAGTTAGAAAAGGGTATAATTTGATAAATTGGTGTTTTGTGTGAGGAAAAAAGGGCATAATCTGACAAATCCAAGCAGAATCTGTGGATAAAATGGAAGCTCCTGCTGGAGGCCATGATTAGCTCCCACTTTGACTTCATCCTCTGGGCCAAATCTACCATCAAGGTGTTTAAACCATCAGATCTCGAGTTTTTTCATGGAAGCTCTACCCAGGCTGAAGATCTGGTCATAAAATGGCTGATTTTAATGTGTTTTATGCTTCAAGTGTTTCCAAACAAAGAGGCAGATGCCACCATTGGAAGAGTGGCAGGAGCAAACTCGGACCTAACATGGCTTCAGCTTTCTTGTGGAGAAGAACTGAGAGCAAAAAAACTAGTTTCAATGACAAAGAAAAGGCTGACTAAGAAACTCCACAGCTGCACTTGCCTTGTGGAAGTGACTCACAGGGAGTTTAGCTCATAACTGGGTGGATAAAGGAGAGCTCAGTTTGTAATTCTATCATAATTACACCCAGTGAGCTGATTTATCATATCAAATGCTAGCCTTAAATGTGAAAGGAATTGGGATTTACACATAATAAATGCTAAATGCATCAGTGAAAGAGTTCTCTGCATGAAACTACATATTTAAGAGATAAAGATGTGGGTAATGCTGATGATTTTCTGAGAGTGTGTCCATCAGGTGTATTGTATGTCTCTGAATGGTCACCCTGTTTACACATGACTCTGCCTGGCATCCTGAACAAATGAGGTTCTGGAGAAAAACCAGACCTTCAGATGAAGGAAATTGCTTGTTTCTGCTCTCATCCCACCTATCACTGAGCAGATCTGGGAAAGGGAGGAACAATCAGGGCAGAGCTAGAAAATAAAACCTGTAGGTTTGCTCTGAAGGACACTGGTGACATCACAACATGAAACATCCAGTCTGGCTGAGAACTGGCAGGAAATTAAACACCAACTACCTTTACTCCTAATAATCATGATACACCACAGACTGCTGCCTGCCCCACTGCTTTTTGTCATCTTGAGCTGAAAAAAAGGAAAGGAAAAGGATTTGGTTTCAGTTGGACTCACCGTGGAGATGAAGCAGTGGTTTCCATCCTGCTCAGCATAAAGAACCCCGTCCTTGATGAACACAGATATTGCACGGAGGATGAACGAAACAAAAAGGTTCATGTGGATGAAATTCCGTGTGCAGTGAAGCTTCCTGGAGAGGAAAGAGGAGGGGAGTGGGGGAAAAAGAGAAATAAAGAAGAAAATAGATTTATTTTGCAGAAATGTCACACTGGGCCTGAACACACTTGACCAGAGCATCTCGGTGCTAACAACAGCAACATCTAAGGCAAGACTGTGTTAGTACAGTGTCAGAACCCAGGACATTCCTCTGACTGCCCTGGAGGACTCGAGACCCTGGCAGGGGGCTCAGAGACCTTGGCACGGAGTCAAAAACGCCTGTGCCTTTGATTTTAGCCCATGGAAAAAAATTTTACAACTTTGTGTTAAGATTTACAAGCCACAAGAGTTTGAGTAGAATGATAGTTAATTTGTCACAGGGTGAAAAAGTAGAATTTTGGGGATTTAGAATGGGGGTTCAAGAAGTAAGATGGAGGGATCTGGGTGTGTCCTGTCCTCCTCCTTCTTCTTCTTGGCCTCCATCTTCTGCTGAGATGGCGACACTTTTGGAGTTGGTTAAAGTAGAGACAGACTGTCTAACATAGGTGATAGGTATTGGGAAATTGTTGTAAATAAAGTGCATGTAGTTTTTAGTATAAAAAGAAAACACCACCCCAAGGGCGGTCAGTGTGCCACGAACTGACCTGCTGGACAGACCTCAGCAGGTCAGAGAAAGAATGTATTAGATAAGAGAAAATAAACAACCTTAGAAACCAGAGCTGAGGAATCTCGACTTCTTCGTCGAGCACGGGGCTGGGAAAAAAGACTTTTAGTACCATGGGAGCCATTTCATCTTTTAATACCTCATTTCACCAGCAACAAACCCGAGAGTGCAGGTCCTAAACCTGAGAAAGAGGAGGATTTGGGGATTTTCTCACAAAAGGATGCAGAGAAGCATAAAATAGACAACAGAACAAGCCCAATGCAGCTTGTGAAGCTTCATAAACCAGACCCACAGCTTCTCCTGCTGCATTTAGACTCTGCTGAAATGCAACTTCTGGAGTGTGTCCACGCTGGGGAAGCAACTCAGCTGAAGGATTTTCCCTTTCGTATTCTACTGTCACTGTCGTATTTTCTGAAAAATCCCGGTGCCAGGATTTTTTCTCCTGAGAAGTTGAGAAGCCTCAGAGAATTATCTGATTGCTTCTCCTGTGTTTTGCTGCTTTAGAATGTAGTTAGAGATTGTTTATCCAACAGGTGGTTGTTTGATTGGTTTCATGTGAATTGTTTTTACTTAATGACCAATCACCATCCTTGAGACTCTGGATGGAGTCACGAGTTTTTCATTATTATCTTGTTAAGCCTTCTGTAAATATTCTTTGTCTATTCTTTAGTATAGATTGAGTATTGCATAATATATGATATGATATGATATGATATGATATGATATGGTATGATATGATATGATATGGTATGATATGATATGATATGGTATGATATAATATAATATAATATAATATAATATAATATAATATAATATAATACAATATAATATAATATAATATAATATTATATTATATTATATTATATTATATTATATTATATTATATTATATTATATATAACTTTCTAAGAACATGGAGTCAGATTCATCAATTCCTTCACCCTGGGGAGCCATCACATACCACACTCTACCTCTGGTGAGATAAAACCTTGAGCTCAGTTTGGGGCAGCTGAGGTCCAGCTTCCCTCCTCCTCCTTCCCACTCACCTGAAGCGACACAGGATGACCATGGCAGTGGTGAGGGAAACCAGGGAAGTGCTGTATCCCACCGTGTACAGAGCCTTCACTGAGAGATAGTAGTAATCCTTGGGAGGCAAAAAACCACATGGTTAAAGGGTTCACCCACAGTCACACAGCTGCCAATGTGCAGGAGGAACCAGAGGCAGGATTTGTGTCTTTGCTTTCTCCTCATTTCCTCTGAGATCTCACTGTGCACCAAGCTCTGCTCTAGGGCTGGGTCTGCACATCGTGAGGTTATTTATCAATGAGCTATCTATATTTATATATAGGTATTTATCTATATTTATCTATATGAGGTTATTTATCAAAGGCTACTATCTATATTTTTTTATAAGTATCGGTAGAAAAAAAAAACCCCGTTGGCTAAGAGATTCTTTATCAGCAGGGGTGGAATTGAGAGTTAGCCTGTGATTCTAGAAGTTCCAAGCTACATCAACACTTAAAGCTCATCTTCCATAAATATTCAATACAGGCCCAGAAAGTATTCAGATCTCACTTCTCACAGTTTTATACTCATGTGTTGCAGTAAAGCTAGAAAAATAATAAAGAAAGGCTTTATATAATCAGGCCTGCTCTGGCTAGCCTGTTCTAAGGCAAGCTGGCACTTTGCAAGTTCCCATGTGAAAACAATCCTGGTGTGAGCAATTTGTTAACATAACAAATAACAACATATTCAACATATTCCTGGGTGAAAAACAACTGGCACATGTATAAACTGCTTTTGCACCATTAGATAGAAAAATGAAAACTATCTGTGACAAACAAGTTTTCCTACAGGTGCACACCAGGGGTTTGAGTGGCCAATCAATACAGAATAACAACTTGTTTCTAACCAATAAAGTAATTGGCAAGAAAGCTACTGACCAATTGGAGTCCTACACAAGGTCTGTAAAACTGAATAAAAAGGAGTTATGTGAATAAAGAATGGGCTTTTTCCACCATGAAGAAAATGGAGTCCGTGTGATTTATTCCCATACCCATGTACAACTGATTGTTCTAATCATTATCAAATCAGAACATGACCAGAGGCTGGACAGAGATCAGTCTGCTGCTTCCCCCCCATCTCCCCTTCATTTGTTTTTAATTATGAGATTAATTCCCACCTGGTTATCAGACTCTGTTTCGTTCTCATCAAAGCCGCAGGCATCGTAATAATGAGGGAAAGGTTCAGACCAGCCATCCTCAGTGCAATTCCTGCTGATGTCCCCTGTGCCAAGGGCAGATGGGAATGTCACATCCCAAGAAAAAACCCCAGGACATCCCTTCCCTCCCCTTGATGCAAAGAAAACCCCACAGTTCTACTGGAAGCTCTGTTAATCTGCCTATCCATAGATTTAATTCTGGAAATTTAATGATGTCTTTAATGATCCAGTCCTACAACAGGCACCTATGCATGGCTGTTACTACAGTTGGTCACCAGAGAGCAAAAATATTTAATTAATACATTCAGTGACTCCAGACCACCAAAAATCTCATTCTCAAGAGGGTTCCTAAACCAGGGATCAACTAAATGTCCATTTCTTTCAAAAACGCATCTGGTGGCTCCACCTTTGATGAAGATATCTCCACTCCACATGGCCAAAGGGGAAATCCAGTGATTAAAAACAAGCCCTTTGTGCTATTTTTAAGGGTTTATATGTGAGTCACATGCCTGGGACTGGTGAGAAACACCAGACTAACATGATTTTTTTGGTCCAGGTGCTGGAATCCAGTCAGGATGCTGTGGGTTATCTCAGATAATCATGGGTTATTTATCCATGGAGAGGCAGCTGGATTGCTCTCCTGCAGGCAGATAAGACACATCCCACTTGTTTATCTCCAAGTCCAGGCTTGGAGGCTCCAGGCTCTGATCTCAGAGTGACTTTGTGGGAATGGTCTGGAGAAAACAAAGGAACTGGGAATTTCTCTCCCAGTCTCAGTTCAGACTGGGAACTGAGAAATTCCCAGTCCATGTTCCTTTGTTTTCTCCCTGTCTTCATGGCAATGTGTTCTTCTCCATCTCCAGATGTCCAGGGTGACCTCAGTTGATGAATTCAGAGCTTCTCACTTTCCTCTGTCTAATAATTATTCCTTAAATTTATAACCTTAATTTTAAGCAAATATTGGTTTAAATACCATAATTTTTTGGCTAATCTCATATAAAAAGCAGCTCCTAAATTGTTTCACTGACAAACTTAGGCTTTAAAACCTTACTGGGAATGAAGAGTTGGGGAAGAAGAGGGAGAATCTCCTGACACTCATTTACCTACGAAGCTGCCTGAGGTAGGAATCCCCTGTGGGGCTCTTTTGAAGCACCATTATTCTTCCCAAAGCTCAATGGCTTTCCCAAAAAATTAGGAATGGGCTGCTGCTGCCCTTCTTCCTCTCCAGCACAAAGGAACAACCTCAATTTATAAAATTATCCCACTTTTTGGAGTTTCAGTTGTACCTTGACCAAAACTGATGGAAATTTCCAAGTTTTGAATTTGCTCTTTGCTATTAAAGTCATGCTGCTTTGCATGCTTAGAGCAGTTTAGTCTCTCATAACCTTATTTTTAACCTTATTTAAGAGAATCTGTTTGCCATGCATGCAGCAGAATATATCTCTTTAATCACAGCATTCATTGAAGAACATTGCATTACTCGGCAAATTTTGTTAAATTACTCTTGCACATTCATCCCCAGTTTTCTATGGAAATAAAAAGCACTGAATCATGGTGCTGACTTCCTTTAATACTATTTAGTAATTACTGTTAAGCAGGTGGATATAATTTATAGCAGCACACTTCTTCGATTGCAAGGCTTAATAGAGGAGGAATAAATTTTCATAATATTGCTAGAAGTAACAGAGCAGAAAATACGTCATAACAATTAGAACTGATTAGAAAATAATACAAAAATTGCAGAAAAAAAAAACAACCAAAAAACCTGAGATTTTCTCTTTAAACAGAGAGATAAATAAAAAGAGAGACAAATTTTCCATGTTTCTAATTCTTACCTAGGAGAGACTGGGCTGTGCTTTCCAGCAGGTCATAATCACCTACAAAAGTGGAAATTGGGTATTAAATTGTTTTGATTGTGTTTTCTATTAGAGCCCAAACTGGTCTCAGTGGAAAGCAGTGAATGGAGTGCAATTGATTTTTATTTGTTTAGATCAGGCCCAAAGGCAATAAATACTTGGTGCTGTCTTCTCAGGAAGTAAACACAGCTTTACTTGAGAGTTTAAATCAAAACTGAATCTCTAAATTTAGAATTAAAAACAGACAATAAACAGGGGCAAACTTTATGGTAAAAATATAGAAGCCAAATATGATTTGTATAGGAATTTACATTTATTATCCTCAGGTATTTAAATATAACCAACTTTCAGAGAATTAATGAAAAATTATTTCCATCCCTCAATGACAAAGAACAGTAATTAATTGCTTTAAATAAGGTAGTATAATTTTGTGGCTTTAGATAAAATCACTGATTTACAGAGATTTATGAGATTTTTAATTTCATTTTTTGTGCAAGTATTATAGCTAAATACCAATGTATCACTGCCATAATTGTTGATACACAGACAACTTTTTAATAATCTGAAATTAACATGTGCACACCATTTTGGGGAACAGATTCACTGAGGACATGGGCAGCACAACTGGTTCTTACCTGCATGGGTTTGCCCCAAATTATCCACTTCCCAACCTGAAATTAGAAGAATGAAAAGAATTAATTCCTAATGACAATAGGTTGAAGTTTAATTTTGATAAAAGTTTGACTCCCATAAAAGAGGAGAACTGCAGGTTCAAATCTTTATTTTATTCTTAGTCATGCGTATTTATGAGTGGAAAAAGGTTTTCAGAAGATGGAATATTGTTAAATATCTGGTTTCATGAAGTTTCATCATCTGGGAAGAAAAAAAATGGATGTAGATTTTTTGTAAAGTTTTTAAAAATTACTTTTTAGGAGAATGTCTCAAAGTAAGGAAGACACACATTTCCAAAACACTGTGTCCAAACCCATGCTGCTCAATATCCTAAAACACAACCATCCCAATGGGAAATGATAAAACTATGGGCTTACATTAGAAATCTCCCTTTCTTTTGTTCTTAAAAAAAAAAAATTGTTGGAATGATGCCAAACCAACGTCCCAACCCCCTGTGCTCAATGTTTAATCAGATTTGGGTTGAAATCAGGTTTTCCTGGCTCCTGGGTGGGTTCTGGCTCAGCTGGAGCTGCCTGGAGCCAGGGAGTGGAGCTGCTGCACCGTGCACAGAGGAGCCTCAGGGAGCTGCTGCAAATCACTCTCAAAAAACCTTCCCAGCACTTCACTGACCACCACAGCAGATGAAATATTCATTTCAGTTTAGTTCTGCATCCTCTGGAACCCCAACAGGGCTTCAGGTTGTTCCCCTTTTAACCCCAGTGGTCAAATGTTAATTAGGGGTTGGAAAAACCTTCACCAAATTGTGTGAGAAGGGTTTTGTTAAAAGTGAAATCCAAATAAAAAATTATTTTGATCCTGTGGGAAAGGAGAAAACATCTAAAGGAATAAAGAAATAACAGGAGGGTTTTCAGCATGCCATAAAATGTGGGGGGTTTATTTTATAATTCACGTAATAATTTAAAACTCCTTGATTTCTGTGTCTCCTCTAAAGTAAATCTGATGTGCTTTCATAGCTTTTAAGACAGAAAAAAGAGTGTTTAATGTGAAAATGATGGTGAGAGTATAGAAAACTCATCTGAAGCATCAGGCAGGCTGTATTGTGACTTTGGATGGATTATTAAATATTAATCCTACACATCCAACCCACTGGGGACCTTGGAGGGCTGATCATGGAAGGCACAGTGAGAACACCCACAGTCCCCATCCTTCTCTGCCCAGCTCCTGCTGCTTCCAGGGTTCCACAGGGAGAATCTACCCTGGGTTTTAGGGAAAGGTTCTTGTCCCAGAGGGTGGTGAGGCACTGAATCATGGAATGGGCACACTCCCAAGGCTGCCAGAGCTCCAGGAGAGATTGGGCATTTCTCCCAGGGATGCACCGGCTGGGATTTTGTGAAGGGGCAGGATGATCTTGTGTGTCCCTTCCAGCTCAGGATATTCTGTGACTAATTCCTGGGTGTTTGCAGATGTTGGGCAGATCTCTGAATTCTGAGGAGGTGTCTCCAGTGCTCTGAGCATTTTCCTGCAGCCAAGGGGGTTCAGATTCTGCACAGGGCTGAGCTGGCAGATGCTGCAGCAGTGCTGAGCCCATACTCCACATTCTTGGCAGAATATCAGGGATGGTCTGATGGGTTCAGTGATGGTAAATATTAAAATATTAGAATATGAAATAATAGAATATTTATCCATTCTGCTCTGCAGAAAAGTTTGGAGAGACCTTTTTTCCTCCTTAACCCACCCAACCCCAGGTTTATTAGCAGCTGTGTAGCTCAGTTTTAGGAGTTTGTTGCGAAAATCAGGATGTGTTGCTAAATTCTGAATTCAGAACACGGATGTCAGGCTGTGGTGTGGGAATTTTTATCTGTGAGTGTATCAGAGGATCAAAGAGCAAACCACCACTCCTTTATCACTTTTTTTCATGGTGTTTTTCACAGCATCTGCCACTCCAGCCAGCAGCTCTGATGGAACTTGTCCCCTGAGTGAGGTCACCCAGCTCAGTAGCCTGTGCCTCTCACTGACCCACACAAGCAGGGTAGAAAAAGCTGCAAGAAAAGCTCCCCAAAACCTCATAAAAATCCAGTTTTAATTTATTATTTATAATTTAACCTTAAAACTCTGCAGAATTCTTTCTAGAGAAAAACCAGGCCAGTATTATGTAGATTGAGGCCTGATGTTCCTGACATCCTGTTTATTACAGTGATGGCTCAGAAAAAGACATTTCTCTTAAATTTAAATGTTTTGAATGCAGCTGTTTTCCCCCTACAATCTAAAAAGCATGACATAAAAATTATCAATATTGAATTCTAAACAGAGATAGCAGTTAGTCTCATTGAGATTAAAATAATAAATTTTAGTTAATTTTTAATTTCATGACATCCATAATAAGAGTTAAAACACATGAATGCACTTTTTCTGAAAGGAATAGACTTGTTATAGAAATATTTTTTATATATACTGAAATTACTATTACATTTCACTCTCTTTGGACATTATGAAGGGACTCTCTTTTCTAACAACATTAAATTTCTGATTTGTAGGAGCAAGCAAGCCTTTTATTGACATATATTTCTATATCTCAGTCCTACCTAATGTACTGAAGAAAGTTCCAGTACAACATTTGTCTGTACAGGCTTTTAGGCTTGATTCATCAACTCAATTTTCACCAATAAGTTAAGATACTGGGAAGTTAATAAGATTTACATTGAACATCATGCCCTGAATTACAACAAAACTGTCAAAGTTCATCTATTGAGTGTTGGGATAAAATGAACATATATACAATTATGTTTGTGGGTGTATGGACATATTTTTTTTGTATTTCTATGTAATTATTTAAATACATGTATTTTTATACATATAAAATATATGTGTGTATATACATGTATAAATATATATCTATTTGTGTTTTCATGTATATATTATATATAAATATATAATATAAACAGATATAATATATAATATTAAATTTTAATATATAAACACATAATATATAGCATATAGTTTTATATTTATAGTATATGTATAAGTATTTTATATATCTATAAACAGATATACATATAATATGTATATAAAATATATAAATACATATATATGTATATATTATATATGTATATATTGTTATATTATAGATTATATATATTTTTATATAAAATGTCTATAATATATATTTTATATAAACACATATAAATATATACTTATATAAGATATATCTATATTCTATATAAACAGATATATTTATATATAAACCCAGATATATTTATATATATACAAACAGATATATTTTTATATATATGTAAAAGGACATGAGGAACATACAGTCACCACATGCCTTTGAATTCCTGCACACTGCAGCTGCTGCCCTGCCCTCGGACATTGCAAGTTTCTCTATCCTGCAACAAAATATGGATATTTATTTGACAGAAATCCATGGCTTTGTTGCTGCTTCCGCACATGCCTGAGAATGAAATGGAATTCAAATTGATTTGTTTTGTGCACAACCTTTAACATGTTTACATAGACCTGACCTTGCATCTAAAGGGTTGTAAGGAATCCCAGACACACTCTCATTTTTCACAACATTACCTCAAAACATTGTTTTTCTGAGTTATATTTTCACTTTAGTGCCTTTAAGACTCTAGAGTGACCTCAGTAAATTTACTCTACTGTCAGTGATGGAGTGGGCAGGACTATGGGACCCCTCGCTGAATCCCACAAACCTTCTTGATTTCCTACTCTTAGGAAACAAACAATGGGAAATGGGTGTGTTTGACTTCACTGATGAAGAAGAGAAAGCCCTTTAATATGATTATGCACTGGTCTAATAAAATGCATTGCTCTCTCAGAAATGAAGAATAAATAAAATATGATTTTCATCTGCATTTCCACTGAAAACACATTTTTCAGGGGTTTAATTCAAGGGTTACATTTACAAGGGACTTTTGAGGAGAGCATGTAGTGACAGGATGAGGAGGAATGGCTTTAAACTGAAAGTGGGCAGGTTTAGGTTGAGTATTAGGAAGAAATTCTTTACTGAAAGGATGGTGATGCCCTGGCACAGGTGCCCAGATAAGCTGTGGCTGCCCCTGGATCCCTGGAAGTGTCCAAGGCCAGGCTGGATGAGTCCTGGATCACTCTGGGACAGTGGAGGGTGTCCTTGCCATGGCAGGGGGTGGCACTGGATGAGCTTTAAGATCTTTTCCAACCCAAAGCATTTTATAATTCTATTATTCCATGATGGCAACTTCTTAAATATCATGATTTTATGACTTATTTGAATGACATCTGTGCTTCTCACATGTAGTTAAACCCAAAGAATGAAATATGGACATGACAGCAGATACTAAAGAGTGCCTTAGAACAGCACTTAGTAAATCAATAATTGCTCTTATCAGTCAATAAACTCCTGAGGAAGCTGCTGATTTCCTCAACTCAGGAAGGTTTATCCAGTGTATTGACAGGTTGTGTTATTTGCTGCTTGACCAGACTTAAGTAAGTGTCACTCTTTGGGAAGCAAATTTACAATTAATGCTTTAATTGACATTGGTAATTAGATGTTATTTGTAGAATTGCTCAGAGTTCCTAGAGAAGATCTATCAGAATGCTGAGTTACCAATTCTAAAGACCAAGTACAGAAAATACTCTTTCTTTCTGTTTTCTGCAGAAAGAGGTAAGAGAGGGAGGAAAAATAATCCAAGGATTTGCCAATGGCTCCCCACAGAGTTGGTGGCAGAGACCCAGACCTTTCCTGCCCTTTTCTTGCACATTTATCAGACTTTCCTCTTTGATTTTTATTTACTGAGACCCAGAACTCATAATTCACCCCTCACTATGCGACAACTGATGGGAAACTCGACGACAGCAGTTGCTCCTGATTTAAAGCGGACAGGGATGGGGAAGCTGAAGCCAAGAACCAGCCTGTGCACGATGAGCCTCAGAGCCTTTTAGATCTCCTCCTTGGTGCCAAATCTGTGCTGGCTGCTCTCCACCTGCCTGGCATCCTGTGGCTTTGTTTATCTGAACACAGCTCGCATTTAACCCTTTT